TAATCAATTTTGTATGGGATGTTATGAGTTCAATTGTTTAGGATATTTTGACTTTATATTCATAATTTTCATTTCAACTAAAAACTTCTTGTGATCAAACAATTAGCTTACAAACAAGCAACTTCACCAACTACACATTAATAAACTGTACCAACTTACAATAAATTCAATTTAATGAATGCAATGTATTCAACCAGGGCATTTGGTCTAGTGGTATGATTCTTGCTTTGGATGCAAGAGGTCCCGAGTTCGATTCTCGGAATGCCCCCTTTTTGCTTTTACCATTTTCAAAATTTAAACTTCCAAATGCCAATTAATTATTCGTTACACCTTTATATTTTATTTATTGTTCAAGAGAAGAAGGAAAGTAAACAACCTAAATAAAAGGGAGTGTAAAAGCATACCAGACATGAATGATGCATGCTTGAATGAAGCCAATCAATCCCACCTGGAACTTCATCTATATTCATTCTATCATATGCATATTTCATATTTATGATAAGAAACTTTGATCATTAGTTTCAAAAAGACAAGCACAAGACAATTCATAAACCAAGGCAGCTAATCAACAAACCTAACTTAGTTCATCAATCATTCAAAAACAACTTTGCTAAGTGCAATGAAGTCTACATCTTCATGTCCTAATTGAAAATTGAAACCTGGATTTTGATATCTAAAAAGAAAAGCAGTTGTTTTGGTGGTACATTCTCAATTTCGTAGTTAGCATAAGAAAAAATTAACTCATTTGAATTTTTTCTTATGCTTTTTTATGTGGCATGAGATTGTTGACTTTCCATTCATAATTTTCATTCAACCAAAAACTTCTGGTAATCTATCAATAAGCTTACCAACCACAATTGAAAAAACTTCACCAACTACACATTGACTAATTGTGGCTCCATCATCAAGAAGATGCAATATAACTTACAATAAATTCGATTTAATGAATGTAATATATTCAACCAGGGCATTTGGTCTAGTGGTATGATTCTCGCTTTGGGTGCGAGAGGTCCCGAGTTCGATTCTCGGAATGCCCCCTTCTTTCATTTAACATTTTCAAAATTTAAGCTTCCAAATGCCATTTAATTATTCGTTACCCCATTATATTTTATTGTTCAAGAGAAGAAGGAAAGCAAACAACCTAATTAAACTACTAAGAGTGTATATGAATACCAGAGAAGAATGATGCATGCTTTAGTGCAACCAACCAGAATCCCACCTTGAAGTTCATTTATAATCTATCATGCATATTTATAATTATGATAAGAAACTTTGATAGTTAGTTTCAAAGAGACAGGCACAAGATAATTCATAAATCAAGGCAGTTAATCCAGGATCCTAACTTACTTCATCAATCATTCAAAAGCAACTTTGTTAGGTGCAATGAAGTCTACATCTTCGTGTCCTAATTAAAAGTTGAAACCTTGTTTTTGATATGGGAAAATAAAAGCTGGTAAATTCTCAATTTCGTAGTTAGCATAAGAAAGAAAGTAACCCACTTGGTATGGGAGGTTTTGAGTTCAATTTTTTCTTATGCTTTATGTGGCATGACATTGTTGACTTTCTATTCATAATTTTCATTCCAACCTGATAAGCTTACCAACAGCAATTGAAAAAGAAACTTCACCAACTACACATCAATCAATTGAACCGTGGATCAACCATCAAGAAGATGCAATATAATTTACAATAAATTTAATTTAATGAATGTATTATACCCAACCAGGGCATTTGGTCTAGTGGTATGATTCTCGCTTAGGGTGTGAGAGGTCCCGAGTTCAATTCTCGGAATGCCCCTATTGTTTTTTTCCATTACCTTATTCATAAGGTATATATAGATCATGAGGAAACCTTTAGGTATAGTTCAAGAGAAATAGGGCATTTGGTCTATTGGTATGATTCTTGCTTAGGGTGTGAGAGGTCTTGAGTTCAATTCTTTGTGTTTCTCCCCTATTTATTTTTCCGATTATACTTCGATGCATTGTGAGGAAGATATAAAAATAAAATTCTAGAAACCTTTAGATATGTCAAGAGAAATAGGGTCTTTGGTCTAGTGGTATGATTCTTGCTAAGATGCGAGAGGGTCCTTTGTTCAATTCTATGAAGGTGCCCTATTGCTCTATAACTATTTTCAATTTTCATTATATTATTAACAAGGTATATATATATTTTATAGATCATGAGAAACATATAAGCAACCTAAATAAAATTCAGGTGACCTTCAAATATAAATCATACCAAATAATGGAGGATGAATGCTTGAATATGTAGCGCAAGCCATGCCCAACATCAAGAGGATATCATCTGAATTAAAATAAAGAACAATAAATAAATTATGTATAATCAAACAGAAATAATTCTATGCAGAATGCCCCTTCACTTTTACCATTAACAAATTTGGTAGATTTTCAATTCCTAAGTTAGCATAAGAAAAAAACAATCAATTTGATATGGGAGATTTTGAGTTTAATTGTTTTAGATGCCTAATGTGGCATGAGAT